TTCCGCCTTCCAGCGCCCGCACTCGGGCCGGGTCACGTGGCCGCGCGCGGTCACCTGACCCGGAAGAGGCTGGCCGGGCCGCAGGTGTGGGGCAACCGAGGCCCGGCCTGGGATCCTCTGCGGGGAGGAGGGATTCTTATCCTCTGCTCGTTTATTTTTATTTTTATTTTTTATTTTTACCTCTGCGCGTTTAAAAGTCGAAGCTTTTCCCACTCGCCGGAGTGCTCGCTCCCCAGCGATCAGTCGAGGACTCCCTAATGCCGGTCGCTTACTCCTCCCACCAACCCCGGGGTTGGGTCTATCGTTAGCCCCACGTTACAGGTGAGAGGTAGCTATTTAATCAAGTCATCAAATAGTTGTGGTCCTGGCCGGTGTGGGTCACTTGGCTGGAACATTGCCCAGTACGCTGAAAGGTAGCGGGTTCCATTCCCCATTCTGTTAAGCACGGGGTCTCATAGCGGCTGCATTTTCCGGTTGTTCTGGGAGGTAACTCGGGTTTTCACTGGCACGCCAGCAATGCCTTCTCTCTCTTGGAAGACCTCAATGAGTTATACATTGTCCTACATGTATTTGAAAGTGTTGTTCATGCAAACTGCTTTAAAGTGACCAGATTTTCCTAATAATGTTTAAGATTTCTTCACTTAAAAAAAAAACAACAACACAAAAAAATAGGAGCTCCACAAGAGTGAAGTGTTTCCATAAACTGATGAACAAAAATAGATCCAGAGACAAATGGCAGGGGAGGTAGGGGGGTTTGAGAGCAACCAAAGGACTTGTATGCATGCATATTAGCATAACCAATGGACACAGACACAGGGGCGGTGGGGGCCTGCCTGGGGTGGGAATGGCGGAAGGGGGGTGTCAGTGGGGGGATGCGGGAAGGAGACATATGTAAAACTTTAGACAATAAAAATTTAAAAATTTTTTTTAAAAAGTGTTTCGGGGCTCACTTCACCTCTGAGAGACCCTGTCCCCAGCTACCCAGTCACCCTGTGCTACACCAGGCATCACCCTTATTTCCCTGAACACCCTGTATGGATTTTCTTCATTTTTAAAAAGTTTGAGAAGAGGAAGAAGAAAAAGGTAAAGATAAAAATTATGAACAACAAATACACATCTATCAACAAGTGAATCTAAAAATCAAGTGAATAGCCCTGACCGGTTTGGCTCAGTGGATAGAGCGTCCGCCTGCAGACTGAAGGGTCCCGGGTTCGATTCCGGTCAAGGGCATGTACCTTGGTTGTGGGCACATCCCCAGTAGGGGGTGTGCAAGAGGCAGCTGATTGATGTTTCTCTCTCATCGATGTTCCTAACTCTCTATCCTCTCCCTTCCTCTCTGGAAAAAATCAATAAAATATATATTTAAAAAAAAATAAAATAAAAAAATAAAAATCAAGTGAATAAAAAATCTGATGAACAGAGTAAAACTGGTGAATATAATAGAACCAGGGGCATAGAAAGGGAATGGACTGACAATTCTTGGGGTAAAGGGGTGTGGGGGTGTGGGAAGAGACTGGACAAAACTCGTGCACCTCTGGATGAGGACAGTGGGGGGGAGGTGAGGGCGGAGGGTGGGGTGGGAACCGGGTGGAGGAGAGCTATGGGGGTAAAAAGAGGAACAACTTTAATAATCTGAACAATAAAGAGTTAATTAAAAAAATAAAAATAAAATAAAAGTAAAAAAAATAAAGCGCTAAGGCCTGGATGCTGAAACCTATTTCCTCAGGTATCTCCCCCTCTCACCCCCAGGGTTCGGCCCCGTCCCCAGCCCCTGGCCGGCGCAGTGCGCATGCGCACAAGTAGCCGGAGCCGATTGGTGCCGGAGTGGCCGCCAGGGGGCGCCGCCCAGTTGCGGCCGTTCCTCCCTAAGCCGGAGTGGGACGCAGGGCAGGCGCAGGCGCGCTCGGGGTCGTCTAGCTAAGATGGCGCCGGTGGAGCACGTTGTGGCGGACGCCGGGGCGTTCTTGCGGGACGCGGCTCTGCAGGTACGGGGAGCTCGGGTGGCGGGGAGCAGGCTGTGGGCCGGCGGCCCGCGCGGGGGCGATGAGCTGGGCCGGTCTCCGTGCAGGACATTGGGAAGAACATCTACACCATCCGGGACGTGGTCACCGAGATTCGGGACAAGGCCACGCGCCGACGACTCGCCGTCCTGCCCTACGAGCTGCGTTTCAAAGAGCCCTTCCCGGAATACGTGCGGCTGGGTGAGTGCTCCTGCCCCGGCGGCCATGGCGGAGCCGGGTCCGGGGTGCGGATGGGGCCGGCTCGGGTGCGAGTTGGGGTGGGGCCCCTTGATCAGCAGCTGATTTAGGAACCTCAGGTTCTCGGGAGGTCGTGGGAGAAAAATGCTTCCCGACCTGCGTCCGCGGGGTCTTGCCAGTTGCTGGCTCTACCCTGGGTGTGACACTCAGACCCTCTCGGCCTCGATCGCCTCGTCTGTAAAATGGGAGCAAAACCGCCCGCCTCCGCGGTTGCTGGAGCGTTAAGTGAGCGCTGCCACTCAGCATAGTGGCTAGTGCCTGGCAACCATTCGGTGAGTTTGTTTGGATTAAAAATAAAAGAACCTGGATTTCTTACTCTTGCCCATGTCTTTTATTTTTTAAATATATATTTTATTGATTTTTTTACAGAGAGGAAGGGAGAGGGATAGAGAGCCAGAAACATCGATGTTGATCAGCTGCCTCTTGCACGCCCCCTACTGGGGATGTGCCCGCAACCCAGGTCCATGCCCCTGACCGGGATCGAACCTGAGACCCTTCAGTCCGCAGGCCTCAGACGCTCTATCCACTGAGCCAAATCGGCCAGGGCTCTTGACCATGTCTTTTAGGTAGATCAGAGTGGTCATTGTTTTGGAAATGGAGACCAGGCTCAGCTCATAAAAACAAGGGGTGGCCTTTGGCTTCCCATTTAGTCCTGAAAGAAAACGAAACAGTTACACTTGGCTTGGGAGTCAGCATTGATCTCTCCTTAGGGATCAAGGTGACGGTGCCCAGGAAAAGTCCCGAAACACGTCTACAAGACGAGTGTGGATGGGAGAGTTGGAAGGGGTCGACCTCAGCGAAGGTACCTCAATCAGATTGAGGACGTTTTTAGCAAAGGCCAGCTTAGGAGCACCCTAATTAAGTTAATAACAGTGTACCTACCTATATATTTTAAGTTTAAAAAATTTGGCTCTCAAAAGAAATTTCAATCGTTGTACTGTTGATATTTGGCTCTGTTGACTATTGAATTTGTCGACCACTGTCCTAGGTGACTGGAAGTGTTTGTGGGGTTTAGGGGCTGATAATGAAAATGTTTGCTACACTGTTAGTTTGTGACTCTTCTGTAGCTTTTCCCACCAACTTACTGTGAAAGATTTAAGGGGGAGTTAATGCATCTTTCAGAACAAATACTAATAGCATGTAATAGGATTTGGTTGAAGGATGACATGCAAAGCTTTTAACACAGTGCCTCCTGTGAGATACTACTAGTAAATGCCCAGTACAATTGCTGCTGTTAATTGGTATCTGCTTTTAGGAAATGTAAACAGTATAGTTACTGTTCCATGTGGTGGTGTAGCACAAGACCCCTTTCTGTTAATATGTCAGAAAATGTTATTGTGCATGTTTATTGTTGATGTCTCAGGAGAATAACAATAACAGCTGGCATTTACAACATGGGGGGGGTAGTGTTTGTTTTTTTAATACATAAAAACGGTCCAATATGTATTACAAAGCAACCACTAATTTGTTTTTCTATCATAGACTACAACAGATATTGGCTGGATTAACTTTCCATCCCATTTTGGAATTTGGTCATCCATTCTATTAATCTCAATTGTTAAACATCAAAGAATTTTAGAACTGGGAGAGAAGAGACCTTCTATCCTGACATAATACCAAAAACTCATCATTTGCAAATATCATGCTAACTTTGAGTGCCTTCCTATTAGCTTTGTTCTCCCGTTCCTCATCTGTACTCAATAAGGATATCACAGTAAACCTAACTGGCATGAATCTTGGTGGTAGAGAATATAGATGTCAGCTATGATTAGAAAAAAGATGAGGAAATAGGTGATAGTCTTAAGGGGTTTTTCTTGACATATTGATCCTAAGTTCTTTTCAGTCTTTCATTATCTTTATCTGCGGTCCTATGACTGTTTGCCTCTAAATGAAGTTGAGACTCTTGTTTACAGTGACTGAGTTTTCAAAGAAAACTGGAGACTATCCCAGCCTCTCTGCCACGGACATCCAAGTACTGGCACTTACCTACCAGCTGGAGGCAGAGTTTGTTGGGGTGTCACACTTAAAACAAGAACCAGAAAAGGTAAATCGGGAGGACTGTTGGTTTTTGGGGGGGTTTCTTTTGTCTTAACTTTTTTATTATGGGGAGTATCAGATACACAAAAGTAGAGGGAATGGACCCCGGGTCCCCACCATTCTGCTTCCACGGTTATCAACTTACGATCTGTTTTCCTCTCTACTGACCCAGCCCTTTTGAACTTAGACATCATATTTCACTGATAGGTGTGTCTCTTTTAAAAAATAACCACAAAACCATCCTTATTATATACCTATAGCATTCTAATAACTCCCTATTCTTATCAAAATAACCAGTTAGCATTCACATTTCCCAATTTTATAAAAATGTAAAAATAGTTTATTTGTTTGGATCAGGTTCCAAATAAGGGTCAAACATTGCAGTTAGCAAATGTGTGTAAGTCTTTTGATTTGTAGGTTCTTGGGAAGATTGGTTAAATTTGAAAAATGCAGAAAGTGTGAAAATAAGCGACAGTCTCACTTTTTTTTAACTAGAAATTTTTTCAGAAGCAAGAATACTAGGTGCTTGTGGGGGGGTTTTTTGCTTGTTTTTGTTTTGTTTTGTTTTAAACCCTGATACCAAAATTCTGGGTTCCTGTTGTGCTTTTAGGGACTTGGCCGCCTTGCCTAGGTTGAAGAGACTAATCTATTTGTGCCTGGACCCTATTGGCTTTTTCAAGGTCAGAAAATTTTGGGAGCCAGATAATTAACCTTATAATAATTAATGACAAAGAATTGCTTGCTCTCCTCTGCCTTGAGTCATCAAAACCATGGTGGGCTCATGTTCCTATACTTGCTAGAACTGTCCTCAGCTTGTTTTCATGTAGGTTTAGAGTCCTTCACTCTAAAAAGTCTAAAAAAAGTGATGCCTAAACTACAAACTTCAGCATGTCACTGGAATGTTTGGGGGAGAGGTTTGAATGGAATAGTTGTACTGACTCTGACTGGTACCTGGGTTTTTGTTTGGCATCCACCAATTCCTAAATCTTAGAAATTGCCTTTTCCTGCAGCCTTTTGGGCAGGACTTACCTATTTTGTATCAGAAGCTTTTTTAAAACAGCTTATCTTTTCACTAAGAGCAGTTCACTCTTAGGCATTTATCCTAAGGATGTAACCAAAGATACCTTTGAGTTGCCCGGCCGCGGTGGCTCAGTCATTGAGCGCCAATTTGTGAACCACGATGTCACGGTTCCGTTCCCGGTCAGGGCATATGCCCAAGTTGCGGGCTCAATCCCCAATCGGGCAGAAGGCAGCTGATCAGTGATCCTCTCACATCACTGATATATAAAAAGATACATAAAAACAAACAAAACAAAGACACTTTTGAGTTTATGGGTGATGGTGTTCATTACAGCTTTATGCATAAGGACAAAAAAAGAAATGTCCCAAAGCTGTTATTTGGTGGTGGAATCACGGAGTAATTATTCAGTCATGTGCCGCATAATGACATCTCAGTCGGTGACGAACCACACGGACGGCGTGTATACCATATAGCCTCGGTGTGGAATAGGCTACACCACCCAGGTTCATGTAAGTGCACTCCGTGATGTTAGCACAATGAGGAAACTGCCTAATGACGCATCTTCCAGAATGTGTCCTTGTCGTTAAACGGCACGTGACTGTATGTATTTATATTTTCTGGTTCTTTTTTTTATTTATTTTTTTATTGATTTGAGAGAGAGAGAAACATAGATTTGTTGTTCCACTTATTTATGCATTCATTGGTTGATTCTTGTATGTACTCTGACTGGGATCAAACTCACAACCTTGGGGTATTGGGATGATGCTCTAACCAACAGCTAC